GCAATTTTAGATTGTGTTCTTTTTTAATGTACTTGTTAGTGTTTGAGCGCTTAACCAGCTGCTTGCACATCATGCTTCCCTGGAAGCTGAAAATGTTTCTGAGCGTTCTATGGTCTGCTGGGGTAATAATAGAGTGTGAAGGGCATAGAGCTTGCTTTCGATTGGAGACATGCGCTACACAAATGCTATTTATTTATTTATTTATTTATTTACTTTTCGAGCAACATCTGATCACGTATTAACAGTACATTGTTTGTATTATAGGCAAAGTCATTTTGACGTCGGGCCCTTCGACCTACACCAGTATACACATTGAGATATATTATCACAGGGGTTTTTTTTAAACCAAAAAACCCTCCCAAAACAAAACAAAACAAAAAAACAAACAAAATCCATTGGTTACATTCGGGTTCAAACTGTGACTTGACGTTTGTGGTTCACGTTTCTTATCAGCAAGGGCTGGACGCAAGACTCCGACATCATCATCATCATCATCATCATCATCATCATCATCATCATCATCATCATCATTATCAGTGCCTTCCACCCCTGGCAGGGAACAGGCCACATACAAGCTCCTTCCATTTATCTCTGTCCTAGTTCGTTAAAAGTGAGCTTCATCTCTCTCATGTCCCTTTCCACGCATCTCCTCAATGTTTCCCGTGGCCTGCCCCTGCTTCGTGCTCCCTGTGGGTTCCATTGTAGTGACTGTCTTGTGATGTTTCCGCTGGGCTTTCTGAAGGTGTGTCCCATCCAACGCCACTTTCTTACTCCTATTTCTACTTCAATATCTTTTTGTCCTGTCCTTTCCCACAGCTCTTCATTTCTTATTTTATCCTGCCACTTCATTCTTAGGATTCTCCTCATACATCTGTTGATGAAAGTCTGGACTTTATTCAGCACAAAGACTCCGACAAGCACTATTTAAATACAGACTGAAAGATAATGCTTTGTTGTGACCGTTTAGCCAGAGACTCCCCCCAAAAAGACACCGCCTTGAACAGTCTGGCGTACTGAGCAACCTTGGATGTACTGTACATTCCATTCTATCCCTTTAGTTCCGCAAAGGAATAATGTTCTGCCCACATTGCTACCATTAACATAAGACCTCGTTTTGCTGAAAGTGAAAGCTGAAAGGAAGGAAAAATAAAGACGTCATGTCCTTCTCTGCCAATGTCATGTTCCGACTATCTACAGATTCATGTACACAAAAGAAAAATAGACATTTTGAACAATGCATGTAGTAAAAAAAAAGGAGGAAAGGATATCAGACACAGCCTTAGCTGAGAACCAGACTCATACCGTTCTGGGCATCATCTTCTGAAAGAACTTGAGCCACTTGCGTAAGAGCTCTCGCTGACGGTCCTCTGATAGACGGATGAACTCAATGTACACAGGGTCCTCTTGGGTCAGCTCTGTTAGAGAAACAGATATACATGTATAATGGTACGTGTTCCTGTATGTGTGTGTGTGTCTCTCTCTCTCTCTCTCCACTTTCCCTTCCCTACTTCCCTCTCCCC